CCCCCCCCCCCCCCCCCCCCACCTACGGTGTGTGCCATCCCCGGATTCAGAACCACATGCGACAAACACCATCCCGTTTTGTAGGGTTTGATTGTCTGCAACTCAAATCAATGATTCCTCCCCGACGACCTCTTTGCTTCACATGATGGCGCCATTGGTTTTGGTAAAAAGAGACCACTCAGTGTTCTGAGAAAGGCATCATAATGTCTTGTTTACATTGAAATATGAAGTGTTCACAGTAGTGCCAAGCTCTTTCCATCACCAGGAAGCCTTGTGCTTGCTTTCAGGGATCGACGAGATACATACTTCTGGGTCGCCCCTCCTTTGTCCGCTAAGACCAAACGTTCCCAGTCCGCTTAAATCCGCTGTGTCTTTTGCTTAAATCCCCTGTGCCCACACCAAAGTTGCAGCAAAACCACCAAGAGGCACGAGCCATTTTGTGACTTCCTGTGCCATCGACATCACTACTGCAATGCTCCACGGTATTAAATACTCACCTTCACTAAACCACAATTGGTTCCCGTGAACTCTAGTTCGGAGGTTATTCTAAGTACCCAATTTAAAGTAAGGAAATGAAGCCGCTTCATATAAAATGGAACGCCTGCAATTGAAGGCCATTCCGTCGGCAGGCTTACAAGTATTGGAACACCAGTGTCCTGGTTGTCTCCGTTCCCAAAATCGTTCCCAATACCGCTGATTGCGCTTCCAAAACCCTACGGCGTCTAAAGAACTTTTGAGAAGTGACAGAAGCCCTCAATCCTATCATCTTTCTTGCATGGCCAATGAAAGACCTTCGTGAATGCTGGGCTTGGGACATACAGTGGATTTAAGCGGACCGGACGTTCCGCCAGTTGATCCCTGCACTGGACTGTTGTGGGTTGCAGTGACGGCGTTAGTGAGAACCGCTGCACACCACTGTGCCAGTGCTGAGCACTATCGCCGGCCGTGCTCTGTTCTGGGCTCCGTGCTGTCTCCTCCTCTTCATCCTCTCATCACAGCCGGACCCCACCTTGAGCCCAGACTGTGACGAGAACAATGGACGGCGAGACCTGACGGGACCCAGCGTTATTACCACCTCCCTCTACCGGCCTGTACACTTTCAACCTCTTTCCCATCTAAATGTTGGCCTAACCTTCGACTCGTCTTTTTTTCTCTTCTTCACCGCCTGGGCTAAGGCTTCCCCTCTTCGAATAAATCCCCGCCAAAAGCGATTTGTCTCTGCGATCTATTCTAGCGTCTACTTCTAGTCTTGCCGGTCCTTCCCAGTCAGCTGAAGAGCGAGCGCGTGTTTGTCCGACTGTTGCACTGGACGACGACATCAGAGGGTTATTATCATCACCCAACTGCATACCTCTCGGCCCCCTTTTTAAACATCGCTTCTGGTTTTTACGACAGTTTCGAACCGATTGTCTTGCCGCTCGTCTGCTTCTTCGGCCCCCCGTCTTCGGGTTGACATCAACAATAAACAGAAGCCCGATCCCAAGCACTGACATTCTGGCCTGACGGTTGTCAACCTCGGAATCCACACCTCATCTCCGTACGAGTGGCGTATCGCATCGCATTGGGCTTCCATATCTGATCGCCTCCTCCCACCCTCACTCATTCCGGCCTTGTCTTGACTATTCCCAAGACACCCAAATATAGAAAACGAGAGCACCAGCACTTGCGCACTCTTTCCGAACAAAACCGCAACAGAAGAAGCGTATCCGATTACGCTTAAACCTACACCATGGCCGACCCATCGCCCCGCGCTCCATGAAGCGCAAGAACGTCAAAGGTCTTGCCTTGGCTCCCGCCGCCCCCAAACCCCCTCCAACTGCCGAGACCTTTTATAAGGATAAAGACGACGACAACAATGCCCAGCTAGAGATTGGCATCGAGTTCAACCTGGATCTCAGGCCTGAGGATCTGGAGCTGATCAAGGAGTTGGGAGCTGGAAATGGAGGCACCGTCAGCAAAGTCAGGCATATCCCGACAAATACAGTTATGGCTCGCAAGGTATGTGGGAAAGACCAAGGTTGCCCAGCTTTGCGGTGTAAGCTCTGCTAACAACCATAAACAGGTCATCCATGTTGAGGCCAAGAAGGAGATGCGCAAGCGCATCGTCCGCGAGCTTCAGATCATGCACGGCTGCCATTCCGAGTATATTGTCACCTTCTATGGCGCCTTCCTCAACGAGCATAACGATGTGATTATGTGCATGGAGTACATGGATGTTGGGTATGTTGTCTCCTAGACCTGGTGCTCTTTGCGCATAGATACTGACCAAAGCTATGCAGTTCGCTCGACCGCATCTCCCGTGTTTTCGGTCCCGTTCGTGTCGACGTTCTCGGAAAGATCGCCGAAGCTACACTCGGTGGCCTCACGTATCTTTACTCCAAGCACCACATCATGCACAGAGACATCAAGCCCTCCAACATCCTCGTCAACTCGAAGGGCCACATCAAGCTTTGCGATTTTGGTGTTTCCGGAGAGCTGGTCAACTCTGTCGCCGACACCTTTGTGGGCACATCCACCTACATGGCTCCTGAAAGAATTCAGGGTGACAAGTACACGGTCAAGTCCGATGTATGGAGTTTCGGTTTGTCGATCATGGAGTTGGCAATTGGCAAGTTCCCGTTCGCTAGTGATCAGCTTGGGGATGATGCTGAAAATGCTCCCGCCGGTATTCTCGACCTTCTCCAACAAATTGTTCACGAGCCAGCACCGAAGCTACCCAAGAGCGACGCTTTCCCACAAATTCTTGAGGACATGATCCAGAAGTGTCTTTACAAGGAACCTGAGAGGCGACCGACGCCCCAAGAGCTCTTTGTAAGTTGTTTCCTGTTGTTCCTTTGCGATAGAGTTACTAATTCCGAGTTCAGGATCGCGATCCCTTCGTACAAGCGGCAAAGAGAACCCCAGTCGACCTGAGAGAGTGGGCTTGCAGCCTGATGGACCGGGATAACCGCAAGTCTCATCTCCAGCCCCAACTCTCTCCGACAACGCAAGAACTTTTAAGGTCCAGCGATGAACCTACACCCACTTCAGGTGAGATTCCCATTCTGGGGACTATGGTGTCACCTCGTGACCAACATAGCAGCGTACCAAACCGACCCCCGCCACGCAGCCGAACAGACAGCGCTGGCCGCACAGGTGGACCGCCTATACATCCGGGACTGGGAGCGCGAGTAGCTACGACTGGCTCTCAGCCCAGGTACCCGCAGCAGGCGCCTACTCCTCCTCCGTCCGAAAAGCGACCATCCATGTCGACCGGCCATTCGTATACTAGTTCCTCGTCCTCGACCCGATCGGGCTTCGCCCTACCCATCCGACCGGGGCCTCCGGGCCAGCCGATGCCGCCGCCGCCCCCGCGAAGACAGCTTACAGCGGAGGAACTGCAGAGGGAAAGTCGCCGGCAAGCCGCAATGCAGCAGCCTCCAACCGGCCGATTTTAAAGTTGAGCGTTGCCTGTGGTGGATCAGTTGTCGTACTCGTATGAGAGGGTGTTTCTTTGCATAAATAATATTCAAGTCCCCCTTTTCTTTTGTAGCTGTGCACTGTTCCCTTTATCCCCCTTGTCTTGATTTGCGAATACGTTGACTACCTGAGAATGCGCTTGATGTCGTTGATGCACACGCCTGAAGACCGACGGCCTGGTAGAGATGTCGTTGGAGAAGTCGGCGGGTCTACCTGGACTGTGCTGGCACACCTCAATGGTACGAAATGGCATATTGAAGAGCAGAACTAGGGTGCTGGCCAGATAGGCAGATATGGTGTGGACATGGGTTGGGGTTGATTTGGTTGGGTCACATCTTGGTTTTTTACAGGGAGGGGAAAAACGGTGGTTGTGGTTATTTGATCTGAGGAAAGTGTATGTGTGAGAAATTCTCGATCCATATCTAGCCCGAATAGTCGGGAAGGAATATGCCATGTCCGTTTTGCATTTGCTGAGGAAATGGGTACTGTCTATGATGGGGTATCTGGTTATCTCAAGGGCACGAGAAAGTCATTTGTTCACAGCTATTCAAGCAAAAAACCACCTAGAACTCTATTTTCGTCTGAATATCATCCATCACGTCCATCTGCCTTTTGCCTCCGGTGAAAAGTCTACAAACACCATTCCTCCCGCGTCACCCCCTTACCCTAATACCCTACAACAACCCCTCCTCCAAAACCTCAACCAACTGATCCAATCTCTCAATAACCAAGTCCGTATGTTCATGATCCACCAGATGCCTATTCACATCATTAACCAACAACACCGTCTTGGCCCCCGCCCTTCTTCCAGCCGTCATGTCATCAATACTATCCCCCACCATGATCAATCCGCTCGCATCCGCCACTAACTCCCCTTCCTCCGTCTTCTTCAGACCCTCTTCTGTACTCGTACTTCCCCCATTCCCATTCTTTCCTTGAGAATCAGCATCCTCATGTCCCTCCTCATCTCTCACAGGCACACCCGCCCCCTCCCCCCTCCCCGCCCTTCTGGTCAGTCCCCACGCCTTAGCAATATGCAAAATCCCCGCCGGATCGGGCTTCGGCGGGCGAAACTCCCGGGTGACAATCGGATGGAAGACACTGCCACTTAAAAACTTTTCTAGCAGGTTATGCACGGGGGCATCGAAATTGCGGGTGCAAATGCCCTTTCGGATCCCCCGCGAATCGAGGTAGGTCATGAGGCTGACAAGACCGGGCTGCGCAACTTGCGAGGCCATGGCGTCCCGCTCGATGGACCGGATGGATTCCATGGCGGCGGCTTGCGCGGAGGCGGTGGGGAGGGAGTAGATGTATTCGAGGATGTCAACGGATTTGGGGATGGAGAGGGATTGGCGCATGAGGGAGAACATGTAGGTTTGGGGTTCGCTGGAGGGGGTGTTAGTGTGAGTTTAGATACGAGGGCTGAGGTGAGTAGGTGAGGAGGTTGGTGTTGATAATCTGGTGATGTTCATGGAGGGTGAGGTTTGGGTTTAGGGAGGGTGGGTGTGACTCTTTGTTCTCAGATATGGATGATGGGGTTGTTGACGAGTGGTGCAACAGATCTTTCCAAGTGAAGCTGAGTTATTCCACACAAGAATACACACATACCATAATGTCCCATCCATATCAAAGACCACACCTTCCAGCTTGCGCAGCTGAGAGCCTGAACCCGTCGTGAAGGGCTCTTTCAGCGGCGCAAAGAATCGTTTCGAAGTGTTGTTGGTAACCATGTTGCTCATCATAAGTGTCCGACGCATAAAGACGGTTGAGACTGTTGGAGGTTTTTGCTGAGTGGGATATCTCCCAGAGGCTGGCTTATGAAACCGGGACCAAAGTCAGTCAACCAACACGGTATCTGTTTATTTCAGCTCTCTCGTTACTAATGTGGTTGAGGCGCCAAGGCTGGAAGTCGTGATAACTAGCGGGCACCAGTGATGTTTCAACTTTCGACTTGCCCTGGAGTTTTGACAATGACTTATCGCCGCTACGTTATCATTACAGCGCATTGCCGCCTATAACAATTGTTAACAGCTCGAAGTTCATCAGCCCCACTTCACCGCCAATAACCCTGCTGTTTACTGACAAAAGTACCTATTCTAGTTAGGTTCAAACTTTGTTTACTCTCGGGGCTGCAACGTAGGACGTCATGAGAATCTTCAATCCGGTTGAGGGATGAAAAGACAACAGAGATATACATATCACAATCTAACATATGATGGACAAACTCCGAGTCCGGACTCCGGATCATCAGGGTCCAAGACAATCGGCAAGTGCTACTTATCTTGCTTCACACATACACAGCATGGCAGCATGAATGGCAAGAGCGAGTGAGCAGCGGGACAACCAACCGCTGGCGCCGGAACGGGTCATGAGCTGCTTCATCCTTCACTTCTTCAACCAATCAACTTCATCACCTCATGGGCGCCAAGTCGCCGCCTTCACCGAACCTGCTCGTCACTTTCTATTTTTTCATCTTTCAACATCAGAATAGTTCCCATTGACTTCTTTCCTACCTAAGAACCATACCTATCCGCCCCTATTGACTAACCCTATTGCGCCGTCGCGATCGCATTTTACCTGCTTACCCTCCTTCGGTGGGATCAACCGAACAAAGACAGCGCCGAATATGCGCTTTAAGAACCTGAACCGGGAGCGCAAACCAACTTGAGAGTGTCGTTACCATCATCATAATGAGCTCTCCTTCCCCGTCAAACAACACACCGCCCTACCCTCAAGGTCCTCCGGCCGGTCGCAGGGCCTCTAAGAGAAGCGTTCGTCCCACCTCTTCTACCCGCATGCTCCATATGTTTTATCCCGTCTGCGGCTCTGACAGGTCTTGAAAACACAGAAACTGCGCGTTGGAACCTTTATTGAGCCCTCCACAGGCGAGCAATCTCGACGCACTTTTACCCTACGGCTACCACTCCGGAGGAGAAGTATACAGGCTTCTCTCAACGGGAATGGCGCGTCCGCGAGCACGGCCATATTACCCGTCTTTTCGGACCAGGAACAGTCCATCTCAGAACGCTCCCGTGCCGCGGCGCACAACCTGCGAGCGGGCGTGGTCCGAGGGTTCCGATGGCTGAACTCCCCCACGGGCCGCGGAGTGCTCAAGTGCACTCTGGCCTACACGATCGCAAGTCTAGCCACGTTCTTGGCCCCGATTTCCGACTTCCTCGGCAAACCGGACGGCAAGCATGTAGTCGCGACCATCACGGTCTATTTTCACCCGGCGAGGTCCGCTGGCTCCATGATAGAGGCTATTCTCATTGCTATCGTTGCCGTGGCCTACGCGCAGGTGGTTTCCATCCTGTCCATGTGCACCTCGGTTCTCTTTGGCAATGTCTGGGGCAATCCTGCTCTGGCCCACATCCTGGTTCTGGTTATCTTTATTGGTGGCGGGTTTGGCTTCATTGGTTGGCTTAAGCAGAGAATGAACAACCCGCTGGTCAATGTGGGCTCTACCTTGGCCTCGCTTGCCATCATTGGTGTTGTCACCAAGGAAACGGCTGTGCTTACCAGCGTCTTCTCCAATCAGAAGATCATACAGATCCTCAAGATGCTCGTCATGGGCATCACCATCACTACCCTGGTCAATCTGCTTGTCTGGCGCGTTTCTGCCGTTCACTTGCTCCGAAAGTCCATGACCCAGACCTCCGCTGCCCTGGGAGATATGCTTGCTATGATCACTCATGGTTTCCTCAGCGGAGCCGAAGATGAGCTCCTCTCAAGAGAGTTCAATGCCGCGTCAGCTGCGTACAAGTCGGTATACCCGCAACTGACTAAGAATCTGCGTGAGGCAAAGTTTGAGCGGTACTTCCTGGGCCAGGAAAAGATATACCAGCTTGATAGAGCGGTTGTCAAGTCTATGGAAACCCTCGCTCAGTCCATCGGTGGGCTCAGAAGTGCAGCTAACACACAGTTTGCCCTACTGAAGGAGTCATTCGAACAGGCCGACCAGCCACTTTTGTCACCCAGAATGCAGCGGACGGCATCCACCATTCTCAAAAGTGGAAAGGACCGGTCATCGGTTCTGCAAGCTATTCGGGAGGCTTCTGACGAAGGTGATGATGATAGAGTCCTACCTGGCAACAGACGCCGCTCTGATGTGTCTATTGCACCCTCATTCCGCAATTCGGGCGAGATCTTCGAGCTTTTTATTGCACTCTTGGGACCTTCTATGAAGTCACTAGCCTACACGCTCTCTGAAGTGCTTCGCGATCCACCCTTTGGATCTGCCCCGAAATACGAGATCCTGATTAATGACCAGTTCCGCCAGAGTCTTACTGATGCTCTGGGTCTATTTAACGATGCGAGAGCTAGAGCCCTCCATGAGTTGTACAAGTACCTCGAGATGGACCGGACGAGATCGGAACAGATACAAGCTGACTTTGAAGAAGTTGCGGCAGCATGCGGGCACTTCAGTTTCAGCCTGCAGTCCTTTGCGGAGGAAATGCAAAAGTATCTGGACGTGCTGGATGACCTGAAGCATGAGAGCCAATTCAAGAGGCGTAGCTGGCACTGGCTTGTCTGGTGGAGGAGCAAGGATCACCATAGTCGGTTCTTTCCTGCCTTGCCGTACAACCAGGTGCCTGAGGAGCAAGAGGGCTTGATCAAGCCGATCAAGAAGACAGCCATCCCCAAGGGCATTCCTGATTCGATGGTCCAACGGAGGGATACGTACAACTGGGAGGCAGCGAAAGACCAGTCGAGTAGGGTCGTGGCGACGCTGTCCAAAAACTGCTTCGGTTGATGAGGAGACTGGCAAGAGACGATGTTCGCTTCGGTCTCAAGGTCGGTATTGGTGCCATCCTGTGGGCAATGTTCGCCTTCATTCCTCAGACGAGAGACACCTACCAACACTGGCGAGGCGAATGGGGCTTCCTCTCCTTCATGATCGTCTGTTCCATGACCGTGGGCGCAGCCAACACTACTGGTTGGGCTAGGTTCCTCGGGACTATGATTGGCGCAGGAGCAGCCTACGTGAATTGGAACGTCACCCACGGCAATGCTTTGGGGCTGATTGTCCTCGGCTGGCTGATGGCTTTTTGGAGTTTCTGGATTATGATAGCGCGCGGCCAGGCTCCCCTGGGGCGCATCACCTTGCTCGCCTACAACGTCTCAACACTCTACGCATACTCCCTCTCCCAAAAGGTTGACGACGACGATGATGACGAAGGCGGTTCGCATCCCATCATCGGCGAGATCGTCCGACACAGGTTCATTGCTGTTACCGCCGGCATCCTCTGGGGCCTGATTGTCTGCCGTGTGATCTGGCCCATCTCGGCCCGCAAGAAGTTCCACCAAGGTCTGAGCATGCTCTACCTGCAAATGGGTCTGATCTGGAAGCGCGGCCCGCTCGCCATTCTTCTGAGAAGCGACTGCAGCCGCTCCTACCTCAAATCCGGCGAGATGACAGCCCTGAAAAAATACGCCGCCCGCCTCGACGCCCTCCGCGCCAGCGCCGTCTCCGAGTTCCAGCTCCGCGGGCCCTTCCCCGCTGCCCAGGCCAGCCGCCTGATGCAATGCGCCAGCCGCCTGCTCGACGCCTTCTACGCGATGTCCCTCGTTACGCAACGCAGGGGCCATCTGACCGAGGGCGAGCGAGCCTTGCTGCTGTACACCGCGGAGGAAAGAAAAGCACTCTGCGATCGCATCTGCCACGTCTTCCAGGTCCTCGCCTCCTCGCTCATGCTCGAATACCCCCTCACGGACGCCATCCCCTCCGTTTTGGGGCAGCGCGACAAGCTCCTGGCCAAGATCTTTCTGTTCAGAAAGGAACACATGCCTTCCCGTACCCTGCAAAACCTCAACACTGACCGAGACCGGGCCCCAGAGTCACCTACAGCTGCTGGGCGAGCTAACAGCTACGTCACAGCGGCTTCCAGTCTCAGTTTCGGACCTACTAGTTTCGGCCAGAACACGGGGAACGGGAGCTGGAATAATAGCTTGAGGGGAAGCATTGATGAGAGCTTGGAAGCCAGCAGTGTACACATGAACCCTTTGGCGCACGTCACACTGGAGGAACGCGATTATGCCCTGCTTTATGCTTATGCGCTGGTGACGGGGCAGGTGGCGGAGGAGTTATCGGAGGTGGCGAAGGAGATTGAGGGGCTGTTTGGAGTTTTGGATAAGGAGTCTATTCTTCTGCAGTAGTAGCCCTTTGTTTCCGTAGGGATTTGAGAAGCGGGTTAGTTACGGGCCTGTGGTATGGCATGGCATAGCGTGGCGTGCGTGTTTGCTCTGACTTTCTTTCTCTCGGTCAAGGAAGGGCTATAAAAGGTTACGAGGCTGGAGTGACCGTGGCGTGGGGATGGCAGGGGAAGACAAAAGGTAGGACGGACGGACAGACAGTTAGGTATTCGCTCTGCGGTTTGAGTCTGGTGTATACTTGTATTGTCTATAGGGTACCTAAAAGAAGCCACCTTACGTATGTAGAAATTTCTCAGTTACATTTGTTCATGTCCGATAGATGGCCAGCCTCTTTGCTGTCTTCAATTCTTCAGGTCGCTATTCCGTTCACCTAACTTGGAATTATAGACGTTCCGCCGTTGGATACTATAGATAATAAGTTAATAAAGCCTACTTCACGTTCTATATATGGTAAAGTTCGAGGCTTTAAACCCCCGGGGAATAGCTAAAGATGGATACCTCTCTCTTCACCTTCTCGCTACCTTGGGTTTGTTAGGACGGGGAAGAAACGAACAAACAAAATAAACAAACAAGCAAAATGCTTATTAAAAAAGCACAGAGCGTATGCTTATAAGTAGATACCTGAAGATCCTGAAGTACTTGAAGTATGCTGCATGTATATTACAAGTAGTTAACCAAAACCGAAAAGCACGACAGAGCGCCAGTGTCTCGTAACCTTACAGTTTCCAGCCAAAGACGTAAACCAGTCGGCCATTTCCTCGCTCACTTATTCCTTTCAAGTATTGCGGTATGGATGTCTTCCTGTTATCCCTCTTGCACCCCGCTCTGCACTCATGAGCAATCATAATCCGCCCACTATAGTCTAGATGTATATCTTGGGCTGTTGGGCCGACTTGGACTGCTTTTCGCCGCCATGACGTCCGAGGTTGCACACTGGCCCAGACTGGCTCAGCATGCTGTAGTCTCGGTGTCGTGTAACCGGTTATCGTATCTGTCTATCCATCCTATCCGTCCATCCTATCTGTCTGAGAGACTGGGAGACTGAGACTTTCGGGATTTCAGATCACGACAACACCTACAATACCTGCAGCAGGGTCTCAGACCACGACAATGCATCAAGTAAAAAATTGATTAAGTAGAATGTTTTTTCGCATAGGTCTTGGAAGAAGAGGAGAGAGCATAAGACTTGCACATTATACCACATCACAGTAGTCACAGGTCACAGGTCACCGCAAGAAAGCCGTGCTTGTCTCTTCATGTATGTTCTTTTTGTCTCCATCGAAATTCTCATTCAACCATTCTATCATTACATACCCCGGGTATATACTAATAAATAAATAATCTGCTGCTCACTCACCCATATCACGTCTCCCGTATATGTTATATGTATATGCATGTACATCCCCTCCTTCTTCCCCGCCTATTCCGAACTTAGAACCTTGAACTTAAAACTCACGCACAGGTTTGCCCGGCCCGGCTAGTACTGTGCTGCGTGTGTTTTTGCTCAAACTTTTTGTTATCCGCCAGATGACAAGGTAGAAGGCTAGGAAAGAAGGCCGGCCGCTTTGGATATGCTGCAGCAGCAAAGAAATGGTAGGTAGATAGGTAGGGTATTATAACCAGAGTAGTGATAAATAGAACAAACAAACCTCCTCCTCCTCCTCCTCAAGGAAGCTTGCTTGGTTGTGTGAAGACAGCAGCAAGAGAAAGGAAACAAAACCAAAAAAATGAACGC